ATGATTTCAAAACATAACTTGGCTTTATATTAGAAACAATATGTTTGCATACTTTGCAAATTGCTGTGACTTTTTACTTGTAATGGCTTTATGACTCATGATTCTTTTATTTTTAATTGGATTTAAGATAGGTTTGGTTTTCTTACATTTGCATTTAAATGAACTTGGATTTGTAATAAAACAAAAACAAAAAACCGAACTTACACTAGACTAAGCTAGGTAATAAATCAGAAAAATCAGTTTGGAGCAGATTATAGCAAGGTTGATATCCCTGACCCATAATATTTAAAATATCTTAGAAATACGTTGGCATATTGTTGGAGTGATCAAGTCATGCCGATATTGTGAGAATATAATAATTTTAATTTGCGTCCACGACTATACTATTCTCTGCTTCAGATTCGACCCTACAAACGTGCGTGGCACGAGTTCCCAACTCAAAACCTCTCGACGTGCATCCTTGTATCCAACAACGTTTTACCATAACCTCCTAGGATCAGAGACTTGCGTTACCCTAATAGTTTCAAATAAACAAAATACAACAAAATCCTCTTCTTCATTTTGGTTCTGTGTTTAGCTTTTTTCTCCAAAAGAATTAATCTATTCTTTGGAGAAATTCACAATGGGCCTTTCCCTAATTCCGATTATATTCGGAGTGCTTCTCCTTTTCACCGTTACACCACGGTCTCTATCTCAGCTTCCTCCGACCATAATGGCTCCGGCGCCAGCGCCAACTCCGGCTTCCGATCTCTGCAACGGAATATTTCTCTCCTACAAATTCATACTCGGTCGCAAGATCCCTCCTAACGACACAACCGACCAGCCTTATCGGTTCGAATCAGTCCTCACGGTTCTCAACAACGGCCGCGAAGAGCTTAAAGAGTGGAGAGTGTTTGTCGGATTCCGCCATCGCGAGATCCTAATTTCGGCCACCGATGCCCTAATCGTAAACGGAACCGAGCTTCCTGCTCTCGTAGGAAACGGCACCATCTTGGGTGGTTCTCCTGTCTCCGACCTAAAAACAGCTATTCAGACCGCCGGCGACTTAAAACAGATGAGCGCTGTGATCAAGCTCGTCGGGACTCAGTTCATGGTGACTCCTCCGGCGATTCCTTTGCCGTCCAACATATCCCTTGTCAACGATGGTTGGCTCTGCCCTGAGCCTACTCTCGAAAGTAATTACTCCAAATAAATTCTCTTATGGTTTTCACATTTCATATGGGGTAATTCAAGATTTTGTTAGAAACTGGACATTTTGATGAGTAGTTGTTTTTAACATTCTTTCTAATTTTAGAATCATTTTAATACATGTAAGGATGTTATGTTATGTTTCTGACTTAAACCAATTTTATGGGTCTGCTAGGCAAAAGAGAGCTAGCGACGTGCTGTAAGAGAGACCCGAGCATTGAAGTGAACACAACAATCACCAACAAATTCCTTCCACGACAACCCGGCGACTTGACCATAATGTACGACGTGATCCGAGCCTACGAGCAGAATTACCTAGTCGAAGTGAAGATGGAAAACCACAACCCACTTGGCCGGCTCGACCATTGGGAGCTAAGTTTCGACTGGAAGCGAGACGAGTTCATAGAGAAAATGCAAGGCGCGTACCCAACCGTCGTGGATGCCACGAAATGCATCTTCGGTCCTCAGTCCAAAATCTACCCTGGCCTCGATTTCGCCGACGTCCTCACATGTGAGAGACGGCCCGTCATCGTAGACTTACCTCCGACCAAAAAAGAAGATCCCACTTTAGGCAAAATCTCTTCTTGCTGCAGAAACGGTACAATCTTGCCACGTATCATGGACCCTTCCAAATCAGCCTCCGTTTTCTTGATGCAAGTCTCCAAAATGCCACCGGATTTCAACAGATCCGCGCTCTTCCCGCCGCAGAACTGGAGGATCAAAGGGACGCTTAACCCGGATTACTCGTGCGAGCCACCCGTTCGGGTCAGCCCGACTCTCTATCCGGATCCGAGCGGTATGCCCACTAACAAATCATCCTTCGGCAGCTGGCAGATTGTCTGCAACATCACACAAGCCAAGACCGAAATCCCGAAATGTTGTGTTTCCTTCTCCGCTTTCTTCAATGACTCCATCATTCCTTGTAATACTTGCGCTTGCGGTTGCCCTTCGGCAACACGACGCACCTGCAGCGCAGATTCTCCGCCGCTTCTCATGCCTCCAGATGCTCTTCTCTTACCTTTCGAGAACAGAACCTCTCTTGTGGTTGCGTGGACAGCACTCAAGCACAAAACCGTTCCCAACCCGATGCCGTGTGGCGACAATTGTGGCGTCTCGATAAATTGGCACATGGCGTCGGACTACAGAGGTGGCTGGACCGTGAGGATCACGATTTTCAACTGGGGAGAAATTGATTTCCCGAATTGGTTTCTAGCGGTTCAGATGAAGAAACCGGCGCTTCTTGGGTTCGAGAAAGCCTACACGTTCAACGCGAGCCTCTTGAGCGTGGACGGAGGTGTCAACAACACCATTTTCATGGGAGGCGTTCAGGGTCTAGACTATCTTATGGCGGAGGCTTTAGATCCGAAGAAGAATGTGAGGGTTCCGGGTAAACAGCAATCGGTTATACAGTTTAGCAAGAAGCTAACACCGGGGATTAGAGTGGCGGAAAGCGACGGGTTTCCAGCGAAAGTGATATTCAACGGCGAGGAATGTTTGCTTCCTGAGGTGTTTCCGATTGCCAGTGGTGGTAGGAGAAATGGGTTTATAACGGTTTCGTTGTATGTCGCGGTTTTTGTTACGGCGATTATAATTGGGGAGTAAAGGCAATTTGGGATATAATCTTTCTAGGGTTTATACTTGATTGATTAATTCGTTTTGTAAAACAAATTTGATCTTTACTCAATGCGGCTGCACTTGTTTGAAATACTACTACCAATATTGTAGATTTTTGTTTCGATTTTCATATACCACAAAATTTGGTTCGTTTACTCTTTTGTCACTATTTTTCCCGACGGTTAAAGGTTTGTCTCACCAGAGTTTACTGATGCGACGTTGAATCTTTCCGACTCATCACTAGATGAAGAAACTCCACCTTGATCAGAACTCTTTTCTAAGAAATGAACGTTCTCCTGCTACAACCTCTGAACCTTTTAACTTTCCAGCTTTTTTTGTTTTCCAGCTTTATGTTCACTC